CTCAGTGTCTCAGAGCATCAGTCTATAGAGCAGACATAAAAGTCCAGATGAGAAAAGAAAGGGTGAGAAAAGATTTTGAAAATATGACCTACAAAGAGGGGATGGGGGAGCAAACCCATCATGCTTTCCAGAAAATGGCTGCCACATATAGAAGAAAAACAGCTCAATTTGTGATGACTGCAACCCATATCAGATATTAGAAAAAAGCTTTCCAACACTTAGAGTGAAAGAACACTGTACAAAACAACCGACATTGTACAACCTTCTTCATGGAAGAACAGATTTTAAGAAACAGTTACCCAAGATATTTGGGTAAATATCTGATTCACCTCAAAACACAAGTTTGGTTTAGATGATTCCCTGAGATCAACTTTTGGTCCTCATTTTCAGCAGTCCTAACAGTTACTCTGAATCACTGGTGAGACATTCATCACTGCCTGTTCTGACTCAGGACACTGCCCACGTGTTTGGGGGCTCCACGTGTTTGCCCCAACCACTGCAGAGGTTCCTATCAAAGTTATGATGCTGACTCATACTCTGCAGCACAGAACTCACAGCACAGATACAGTCTCCAAGGCTTCTCTTCCCAAACTATGAGATGGGACAGTGCTTTCATACTTTTCCTTCTTAGCTGACCACTGAGTAATTCTGAGTATGCTCCATACTTATTCTCTGAGACACTTTCTAACCCTTATTTAACTCCTTTTCACAGAATCACAACACCACTGAGGCTAGCAGGGGCCTTTGGAGACTGTATAGTCCAACTCACTCTGGTCAAAGCAGCATCACCTACAACAGAGTGCTCCAAGAATGGAGATTCCAGAACTTGGCTGGTCAACCTGTTTCAGTGTTTGATTGCCCTCACAGTAAAAATACTTTTTCTTATGGTTTAAATTGAATTTTTCATAGTTCAGTTTGTGCCCATTGCCACTTGTCCTGTCACTGAGCACCACTGAGAAGTTTGACTACATTTTCTGGATACATTGATGAGATCTCCCTGAACCTTCTCTTCCTCTAGGCTTAACAGTTTCAGGTGTCTCAGCATCTCCACACATGAGAGATGATCCAGTCCCTTAATTATCTGCATGGCTCTTTGCTGTACTCTACAGTAGCTCCACATCCCTCTCGTACTTCAGGTATGGCCTTATCAGTGCTGAGTAAAAGGGAGGGATTAATTACCTCCCTTGACCAGTGGTCAAAGCCTCTCCTGATGTAGCCCAGGATGCTTGCTGGTCTCTGTTGCAAAGATACACTGCTTGTCAATGGCCAACTTGGTATCCACCAGGACCCCCAGATCACAGAGTCATAGCATGGTTTAGGTTGGAAAGGATCATAAGATCATTTAGTTCCAAGCCCCCTGCTGTGGGGGGACACCTCCCACTGGACCAGATTACTCAAAGGCCTGTCTAACCCGGCCTTGAACACTGCCAGGGATGAAGCATTCACATTTTCCTTGGGCAACCTGTTCCATGTTCCTTTCTGCAAAGGTGCTTTTCAGTCAGTCAGCCTGCGGTGGACTTTGTACTTTCACGTCTTTAACTTCACATAGGTCATGTCAGCCCATGCCTGTCAAGATCCCTCTAGATGGCAGCATAACTTTCTGCTGTTATCCAGCCACTCCTCCCAGTTTTGTATCATCAGCACCTGCCCCATCATCCAAGGGAATAAGCTAAACAATCCCTGGCGTGTATCACTAGTAACTGGGCTTTCTGCTGTGGATCATAGCCCTTTTGAGTCCAGCAGTACATTTTCCTTACACACAACTATCACAAATCACTGGGACATCTCACAAAAATTCTTCTTTATAGAAATGACCATTTTGACTTGAAATCAGCCCAGATACAGCACAGCCTTTCCAAAGTTACCCAAGCCATGCAGAATAGCCTGTACATGCTGAAACACTGCTAGCGTTATACAGGCAGCACACACAGAGGCTGGTACTACTGAATGATACATGATGACAGGTAAGGTGGTATTTAATTGCTACTGAAAAGCAGAAGGATTCTGTTTCGGTAAGGATGTTTGGACACTTGGCAACTCTCCAGAGAACGTAGGAGTGCTGCAACTATGGAAGCTGGAAGAACGCACAGAGCACGGATCCTCCTCCTCCCTCTCTGACATCAGAGCACACAGCAAGCAGCAAACTTGGCCTCGCCCTCCAGCAGACAGGGCTGCAGCTCCCGTGGAAGGACGCTGGCCTCTAGTGGTGACAGCTGGAGGACCGCAGTCTAGCCAACCTCCGCAGCTCCGGCCCCCGAGCACTGCCCAGGGCGGCTGGCTCCAGCCTCGATGTCCACGGGGTACACAGACTGGCTGATGGCGCTACGTCAAGAAAACCAACTGCAAGAGCACTGAAAATGAAGCTGCTGCATTGCCTGTGCGTATAGATGGCTTGTGTTGCTCCCTTCCTTTTTTATACCTGAGTCTATTCTATCACTGTAAGAATGAAAGTTTCGTTAGCTGGAGCTTCAGTCATTTAAAACAACAGTTTGCGATGCACGTCTTCTCAGGCTCTCAAAATCTGAGCTTGTTCAAATAAAGTTTTTAGCTACTGTCCAGGTTATTGAACAGTAAATCCCACCAAAGCAAAAAGACTAGTGAAACTGAGCTGATTAAAAAACAGATTCCATAAAATCAAATCACTCAGCAAAAAAAACCTGCTTGGAATTAAAACCCCAAATTGATTCAGTAATAATTATTCTTTTTTTGTCAGAAAAAAGTGGTAAGTCATTAGGTTTGCTATGAACTTCATCAAATTAGTTTTAAGAAATCTCTAAGCTGTAGTACATCAGGTATTTCAATGCTAGATACCATCCCGTAATTTAATACCTCAACCACAACCTCAAAATCCATAAAACTTCCTGTTTAGATTTCAAATACTGCCCAGTACAACAATCCTTCTTCTTTGCCTCTTCTTTTGTTGGAAATAACAGGCGACAGGTTTTATTAAACGCACTCACAAGCCAAAATTTGACAATTCATGGTTAAAGCTGACAGCTTTACATTTCTGCTAATCCTCAGCTTGGACTGAAATGCACATGAAATTGGCATCTTCGGACAAAATGTTTCTCCTTGCATAAATCACTTCCCTTTCAGTGTGGTTCAGATAACTACTCATACACACAGGCATGCCGGTGACCATATTTTCACACCCTAGGATTAGAGACTAAGTATGAGAACAAATCTACTGGCTTCCAGGAATGCCTGCCAAAATCATAAGAAAATAAAGAGCAGGGGCTCCTTAGTTCTTGTTGCCTGCTGAAACAGAGAGAGCTGTAGTGAAGAAACCAGGCAGTGACACTGCATTAGCACAGTGCTTCCTCTTAGCGGCCTGCCCCAAAATACAGAAAAAAAACCCAACCAAACAGCTAAAAATTAATATTGCTTACTTGTTGGTATTGCAACTCACTTTGCCTAACGTGATCAGTCTTACATTTCCAGAATGCCTTTTTTTTCACTTGATGACTTTTTGACCAGATGGTTTCTCAGCCGCACTGTTACAGTAAGTTTAATTGTTTCTGTTTTGCAGTGTCGCCTGAGACCTTTGAAAAAAGTCAGACACAAGGCCTATCTGCTTACTATGAAGATCCTTCCTACCATGTTTGAAAGACTTCATAGAGTTAGTAACATAATGCTTTATCCAGGAATTTTAATAATAGCCGACAGTTGGATATCAAAGTATTTTTTATGAGAAAGGTAACCTGGTTTGTTGGGATGAATAGGTTAAAGAAAATTCCATTCTTGAATCCTTGTTGAATAGGCTGCAAATAGCTCATCAAATGATTCTAGTATGAGGCATCCCCCTCACCATTCTTCAGCCATCAACTTATCAACAACTGATGTCACTATTCTCACAGTAAAATAATTTTGGAAACCATATCTAGCAATTGGCTGTAAGATTTTAACAGCTTACCTAGATACAGGAATAGCAGTGCGCAAGTACTTCATCTTGACAGGCTTTTAAGGAAATAAGTATACATAAGAGCCATACTTGCTACACCTCTTACTTTCATTGTATGCTGTCATAGGAGAGAGATCACAAGAACTGGTTTCCTGTACAGACTGGCTTCCAAACCAAGTATTGTTTTTGAAACTAGTAAACATATAAATAACTTTAGCATTATTTCCTTATTCTTACAACCTTATTATAATAACTGTATGTAACATGACTTTTGAGATCAAAGGATAAAAAAGCACAGTACCACAGAAACTAACATACCTCCTCCCTATATGAATGTGGTCTTGAAGTACCGTTTGCGCAGACAACTGGAGTACAAACTTATTAGTCATTTCCTTCACTTACCTGAACTAGCCTGGCTCAAAAACTACTTTATTTTGAATACTGCCTACTTGTAAATGATTTGCTTCTCTAGTCGAATGAACCATTAATAACTTTCTCATTTTCTTCCACATCTGACAATTCTGTCACAGCATCAGTACAGCGATCAATTAGCCTTATGCTTTCTCTATATGGCCTTATTGTTCCTATGCAAGACAGAAAACAAGGGAACTGAAAGGAAATTCCTATTCCTGTGTATTATTTATTAGCTATGGTTGAATGCAGTAACTTTTTTATTGACTGTTGCATATATGGATTTCTTTGATCATTGACAGATCTTCTTTGATCTAAGGCAGATGAGATGAAAAGTTTATGAAACTGACATTTAGAAATAATTAAAATAGAATCCTCTCCTGATTAATTAGGAAGCATTACTAAAGCTCAAGTGGAAGGTATCCCAGAACGTTCTGACCTTTCTAACCCAAAAGAGTGCAACAAAGTTTCTGCCTGGCATGGATATAATGAAATCAAAATTCATTATTTCTAGATTCATGTAACACAGAAATATACAACTATATGCCTTTTAAAAGTTCTGAGCTAGAAAAACAGATAAAGAATCCCACCATCTTAAAAGAAATTTCCTGTCCTTTCACATTCCAAATTGAAATCACTTTCTCTATTAGTTAGTCACTCTGGATTTATTTCAAACATGCACACCTACCTTTATGGTAACGTTTCCTTTTGTTATTTTTCTCATATTGAAGCCTACTGTAGGAATCATATCTTCTGTGAACTGCCCTGACTAGAATACAAACAAACAAAAAAAAAAGGAACAAAAAAAAAAAAGAACAAAGTATTATAAAACAGTTGATACACAGCAGGTAAGTTTCTCATTTGCAATCTAGAATTTTTATCTTACAACACTGTAAAATATCACATTAATTTTCTGCAAGAGCACCGGCCAGCATTGACATTAATGCATTGTCACGCCAAGAAAGACTGTTCATATCAGCCCTTCAAATGATCTTTTATTCTCCTCAGTGACAAAGGTCAGCCCAGAAACCATAAGACCTTGGATAATTCATCTGCTCCTTCAGCAAGCCAGAAAGCAGCATGGTCAAAATGGAGAATCACAGAACCATTGAATAGTTTGGCTTGAAAAGGAACTTTAAAGGTCATCTAGTCCAGCCCCCAGTATGATAAAACATGATAAAACTGATTATAGCAGGATTTTTCCTTACAGTTTCTCACTACTGTTACCAATGGTTTAACTCCAAATGTAATAAACGACAAAGGAGTACTTTGTAGAAAGTATTACGTGCAGACCCTTTCCTTCTGAGTAGATGCCAGCAGAGGAATCCTGCTGTGGAAGCTAAGAGAATGCCATAAAGATAGAAAAATACAAGGTACTAACGCAGCACAGCATAAACCCAAAAGATAAAATCAAATTGCTACCTCCTCCCCCAGTTTCAAGAAACGTTTTTACAAGACAGATGCTTGTCATCACGATAACGGGAACCTTACACACATGTACCCACTACAGGAGACAGCTTTTGAGAAGAAAGGTGAAACTCAGACCTTAGCAGATAACTCATTCTTTCTTTTCAAAAAGTATTGTTAACAAAGTATTGTGTCTCCCAGGCACGGTGCATTCTTCCATCTATATCTGGCCATATTCCCTTCAGCCACCTCATCATCCCATATGCCATGGCTTTGTGTTTTCTTGGAAGAAAATATGGGCATGCTCCAATACATGTCTCCCATCTGAGAGCGGGTGATCATAGCTTCACAGTGCACTGCAGCAGCTACGTGCCTCACAGAGCACACACTGCCACCAATTCGCCCTGGTGCTATTGCTATATACTTTCTGCAAATTTTCCCTGTTCATGGCAGAGTGAGAACACACAATGCCTCTAGCTTGTCTTCACAAACTAAGATTAATTATTTTTAATCTGGGATTTTAAAAGCTGTACAACCTTTGACAGGTACTTACCCCCCCCCCCAAAGATTTTGGAGTCTGGAATTAGATTCTTCCAGCAGTTACTTGCTCAACCTCACCTATGGGAACCTTCTTGCTATTCTGTACAATACTCCCCGTCTTTTGTTTCTGAAAGTCTTTTTTTTTTCCTTCCTCTTTCCTTGCTTCAGTGACTTGTCAACAGCAATATAAAAAAACAGTGAAGACAAATGCACCTGCAGCCTCATACAGATATAAGCAGCCATCAGTGACACAACTTCTTAATTGGATGGAGTAAAACAAAGACAATCAGTAACTATCTCCTGCAGCACGTACTGGTTTAATTTCTTAAAATATAAAGCACGTTTATTTGTGAAGGCCGGATGTATAAACACATAGAAATACATAAACCCTGAGAATGTAGCATCATTACTCAAGCACAAGAATGCCTCGAAAAACAGCCAGTCAACTCAGAAGGCTATTGTTTAAACAAACTCATAGAAAGTCAGGATTACACTTTGCCAGCAAATTATACACCATATGTAACATGCTAAACTGGAAGACAGACATCAGAAAAAAAAAATCCTTCACAACTGCTCTGGTATCAGCAACAGAATGCAAAGAATTAGTGTCCCCTTTACTGGTCTTTAGTCTTTTCTTCTACAAATTTTCCATTCTGGTTGAACGAAAACAGCAACAAAGAAAGTATTATGTTTACAGTTCTTTATTTTCCCCACACAATGAAGGAAACAAAGTAATATGTCAAATCTTTTGCCAACATTAGTACAAAAGCTCTAATTACTGTGTTTTGTTTCAAGTGCTATAAGCACCATAAAGTAAGAAATCTGTTCCATTTTGCTTGCTAAGGAAGTTTTACATGACAAATTACCTATTTTGAGAATATCCAAGATGTGCAAACAAGTTTAGGGTTGTATCTCAGTAAAAAAGAGATTACATCCTGACACAGATGAAAGTAACTGATGCTACAACATGCTGTCCTCTTTCAATGTTGCTGAATATTGATTTGACAATGAATACTGTCATTATCCCCTACCACATCCATAGCCATGGGCCAGATTCTACTCAGTTATATTAGTGCAGAGCCATAGTACCACACAGGGACATTATCCAAGGTTTCCACTAGTAACAAAGGATTACTACATAATCTTCAAATTCTTAAGGGAGGAGGCTGTCTCAAAGGGTATTTATTCAATGTTAGTCTGATAAGATCCCTGAATACACTTGCAAAGTGGAAAAATACAGTATTTTCTTAACACTTGTTTATATGATCCATTGCAGTTTGCATTTTAAGTATCCACTGTTTTGTAACGGTTAGTTTCATCTTGTCACATTCTAGCCACATAGACACAAACACAGAGTTCCCAGTCAATTTGCCATCCCCATAAAACTGTATTCAAGCGTAATATCTGCCATATCTTAAACTGTTTACTCACAAATTCTTTAACCACCTTTCTTTGTTGATTATCATAGTGTGTCATCTCTAGACTGAAAAATACAAAAGCTACAAAACCTGCACAGAACATGGATGCCTGGCAGAATACTCTTAAACAATACATATACTGGCAAAATCAGACCTCTAGTAACAGCAGTGCTTTGCTATTAAAGATATTAGCATGACAGAGACGCAAACATACGATGCCATACCACTGGTGGTCTAGCATAAGTGAGTGGACAAGCAGTTATAGGCACAAAATCTAACACCACACAGAACTGAACCAAGGTCTCTGAAGTGCTGTATTTTTTGCTCCGTTTATGAAATCAATCCAAGAAGCAATGCAACTTATCATGCCTTTTCCCCCTTACTCAGCAAAGCCTGTCCTTTGGAGAGGAACACTTCCAGTGGGCGCACAGAGTGATAAGGCCTGTGCTGAGTGTCTAACAAACTAACATACTAAATCCAGGTATTTTCTGCTTATTGATTGCTAATACTCCCCAGAACATACTTTTACTGTACACTTTCCCTACCCCGCTTCATCTCCTACTCTGCCTCCACCTCTTCACTCCCGCTGAGTTACAATCTTCTGTTTTTCCCTTAACTCAGAATCGTTTGCAAAAGCAAACAACAAATACCATATACTCATGTCATCATTGCCTCAATCTCTTTGGCTTTAGGTCATACACATCCCAGTTTGGTCTGATCTGTGATCTAGCAACTTTTCAGGATAAGGGCTAAAGAACGTCTGGAAACCTTTATCTCATGGCAGGTGAAGCTGCAAATCTCACCAGACAAGATGTGCAGCAAGAGTAGGTGCTAAGCTTCCTGACTAGCAGGAGCCATACTTGACATATATAGCTGTTTCCACTTCCCGATGGAAAGTAAATCTTCAGGATGGACCTAAATGAAGGTCAGAGAGCACAGTAAACAAAGATGAGAAACAAAGACGGCAATAAAGTGGAAAACGCCATAGCAAGCATCAGCATTAGAGGGGAACAAGGCTGCAAGGCCATCACCACAGGGGGTAGGGAACGCCAAATTCAGACATGGAATGCTGGGAAAGAGCTATCAAGGAACCGTGTGCGGCATTAACCTTGATGCAACTGATGGGAGGGGAGAATTCAGTTGACAAGGGAGTTGTGGCCTTGGATGCAGGATACATTCTGAGTTACTCCGGGATACACTGGCCGTGAAAAGCCAATTCAATCACAGGCAAGAGCCCATGCCCAGAACGGGCACGCTCTGCAGTCAGCAGAGGAGACATTTTCTTTCTCCCCCCCCCCTCTCCCATTTCACACGCACCCGATCCTGCTGTGAAATTCCCGAGGCTGCCAGCGATGCGGGAGCTGCCTCACGCCCGCCGCCCCCCTCTCCGCAGCGCACCTCGGGGCCTCACGACAGGCGGCAGCATCGCAGCGGGGGCAAAGCCCGCACCTGTTGCCGGGGGAGGTGAAGCGAGGCGGGAGGGGCGGCCCCCTCCAGCCAGACCACACCGCCGGGCCGTTGCCTCACCGCCCACGGCCACCGCTTCCCCGCCGCGGGCCGCCGCCCTGCGCGCCCCCCGCCTTGCCCCTGCGACCGGGGGCCGCGTACCGCCAACACGGTGAGCAGCGTGGTCTTGCCCGAGTACTGCAGCCCCACCAGGGTGAGCTCCATCTCCTCCTTCCAGAACAGCGACCGCAGCCACTCCAGCACCCGCGCCACCAGCGCCAGCATCCCGCCCAGCGCCCCCGACCTGCGGCAGGCGCCCAGCCCCAGCGGCACCGCCTCACTGCTGGGCATGGGAGCGCGGGGCGAGGCGCGGCGGAGCTGGGGACCGGGCCGGGGTCGACGGCGGCGAGGCTGCGCCGGCTCCGGGAGCAGGAACGACCCTCACGTGACGGCGCCGCCGCCCTTCCCGCTGCCACTTGCTGCAGACGGGGGAGGGGTTTGGCCCGGCCGGGGGCGGGGAGCGTGAGGCAGGGCCGGGAGGTGGCCGGGGCCGGGGCCGGGGCCGGGTGGGGCGGTGTCCGCAGGGTGAGGAGATAGGGCGGTGTCCGCAGCGGGGGACGGGGGTGCTCGCGGGTGAGGCAGCTCTCGCACGGAATAGCGGGCGCTGAGGCATCCCACGGGCCTTACGGGCATGAGGTGGGCGTATGGCGGCACCGCAGTCTCCGGGGAGCGGCAGGGTGGTTCCCGGCAGCGCGACGAGGGCAGCGCGGTGTGAGGTGAACAGCTGGTGCCTGGCGGGAGTGTGGCAGGACGGGGTGGCCCGGCATAGGTCTGCCGCTGTGGGCTGTCCGTCCAGCACCATGCACGCAACGGGTGGGCCAGGGCCACATGTGCACCGCTGGCTTATGAGAGTTGGTGGGATTTACATCTTGACAGCATCGATGCTGTAGGTCCTTCACCTGTAGTGGTGGCAGTTCCCACACTCCTGGACCTCCACTCTTCTTATGACACTCTTGAATTGTTTTATCGTGTAGGGACCGGTCATCATAGGATCACAGAGTGGTTTGCGTTAGAAGGGAGTTCAAAGCTCATTGGTCCAACCACCTGCAATGAGCAGGGACATCTTGCGCTAGACAAGGTTGTCCAGAACCACATCCAGTCTGGCCCTGAATGTCTCCGGGAATGGTGCATCCATCACCTCTCTGGCCAACCTGCTCCCTTCACTGTAAAAATTTCTTCCTCTCTTCCAGCCTGAATCTCCCCTCTTCCAGTTTAAAATCATTGTCCCTTCATGCTGTCACAACAGGCCCCGCTAAGAAGTCTTTCCCCATCTTTCTAATAGGCCCCTTTTAAGAACTGAAAAGTCACAATAAGGTCTCCCTGTAGTCTTCTCCAGGCTGAACAGCCCCAGCTCTCTCAGCCTTTCCTCATAGGAGAAGTGTTTCATTCAAGGTTTACTGTGGTTTTACTTGGGTTCTTTTTCAACAATTTTTGGTGAGTCTCTATTAGCATGCTTCCTTGCCTCAACAAGAGATGGTTGTGACAGTGGTTTTGTATAGACAGGACATGCTACTTCACCAGGAATCTTCTACCTACTGGATAAAGAGCATTTAGCATACAGTCTTGCCACACATCACTGAGAAAGGCTGCGTTTCTCTGTAACTGCAGAGCTAGCATTTAACCTGGATCCACCACTGAAATTATACGTGATGCTCTAGAAGATTACAATGCTGATGGTATTGCTTGATGGAGGACCTTCACAGAGGTGTAAACAAGGCACTTCAAAAATTTAGTACGGATACTTGTACTATTGAAACAAAGCAAATTCATCAAAACATTTTGAAATTAGTTTTTCATGCCCTTTTTAGAGACATAATTCAGCATTTGGGAGAATGCAATTTGTGTTAAACCTAGCTGGTTACGTCAGGCCACAAAAACTGGAAGCTCTTGTGACTTTGCTGTCAAGAGAAATTGGTTCTGAGCTAGCTGCAAAGGTGAAAAACTATATGCTTTTTCATGCTCTGGTTGTAGATACAGTAAAAGTGACTCATAGGGTAATGCTAAGATATTTATTTTTTTTTACAGATATTTATTTACTCTTGTAAATTTAATTGAACATTTCCAGAAGGAAATTGGACACTGGAGCTGGCCCTGCTACCCAGTAGGTAGTGTAAGGGAGTTATTTTTCATTGCTTCTCTTAATACAAAGTCTTGAGGAAAGCAGACACATCTAAGTGGCCAGGGCCAAACAAACAAAAGGAATTGGGTGGTTGGTTTTTTTTCCCTAGTTTCATAAGATTCTGCTCTTGACACAGGTAGTCCTTTTGTCCTAACATTATAGCCTAGCATTGGTGGTTTGGGTTAGAGTCAGAATTTTGAATGTCTGTGTTAAAACTGAGGCAGTGATGGGTGTCGTCAGCAGTTTCAGAGCATGGTACAGCTCTCAAAGTTTCTTGCAAATGGGTGGCATGGTGAAAAAAGAACCTGATCGGATCCTGCATTGAGAGAGAGTGTAGCAGAACTCTGCTCTTTTACTTGCCTCTTGGTAGCAGCCAGATGGCCATTCATTACATACATGCATCCTCAGGCACTGGTCACAAGTTTACCCACCAGTTACTGTTTATGGTAAATATAACTGGGGGTTCACTGGAGACATGGGTCAAAAGGTTGACATTGAGGAAATGAATTATTCTGGTTGCAGGGGTAAAAGGACCAGGAAATAATTCACTGGCAAAACAGTATTATTTGTCAATTTTGTTATTTTTAAAAGCTTGTTTCAGCCAAAGCAAGTATAGATTTTCAGTGAATAGGTGAAGTGTTTCTGGGTGCCTTAAAAACTGAAAAATAAAATAATTTCTCCCATCTCCACGTATCACCCAGATGGCAATGGGCAGAATAAAGACAGTCAATTTGTGAGAGTGGTTTCTGCGAATCAAGTGGCTCAGATTACTGAACGGGGGAAAACGTGTATGAAATTGAGCAGTCTCTGTTTTTGCAAGACTTTTTTGAAGAGTTTTTAATTCTTCAATAGAAGGCTCTTAGTGGCGGGAGCTTAAAGAAACAATGTATTGCAGATACAGTAACATATTCTGAAAAAATACATTTCTGTCGTATCCGGCAGAAGATGGGCTGATAAATCTAAACCATTAATTCAGCTGTACACTGACTGAAGTCTCTTACAGAATCTAGGAGGTCAAAATATAATATATGAACAAGTCTTGGAGGGTTTGTCCAAGTTAAAAGATCTGTTAAAATGATCTAAAATCTGATATATCCTTTGCAAAACTAAATTATTATGAAGGACAATTCTTTACTTTGCAGACAGTTTGATAATATTGTATGTAAAAATACAATATTGCTACCTTGCTACCATTAGTAGTTCAGAGGATGTATGTTCTTGTAGCTAAAAGCCTGAGCTGGAGCACAGAAGGCCACAAGTAACTATTCAGCGTGACTGTAGACAAGCCCCTTAATCTCTGGGAAACATTTGACAGTTGATCAAGTATTTCACTTTCCTGTCTTGTCTACAGAGATTTACACACTTCAGCAGTGTTATGGGGTCACTGAGTCTTTCAAGCGCTTTGTGGATGAAGTGATAGTAAAGCAGCATACTCCATTGCAGAGGCTTATTTATGCTATGAAAAAGTATAACAATGTATCTTACATTTCAGGTGACGATGGTGTTGATGCAATACATGTTCAGCAAAGCTTGACTGAACCAACACTGAATATCCAGATATTTCCGCATTTGGAGAGAAACAAGATGTTTGGGACCCACGTCTCTACTTTGGAGTGGTACCAAAGAGATCAGATCACATTATCTGTAGTTTAAGCGGGGATTTCAGTGACAGCTGAAGATCTTAACAAGAAGAAGCCTTCAGCTGAATGAAATCCCCCCGAGTGGAGATCATGAGAAGAGGTGATGCCTCTCTCCAGTATTTTCAGTCCTGATATACCAGGTGTTTGAGGAAAAAAAACGTGTAGAATAAGCCACATATCTTTTCTGCTAATGAGGCACTGCATTAGTGAGAGTCTAGTTGTGTTTTCTGTTTGTAGGCCAGAGTCAAGCAGGTGCTTTGTCAAAGAGAATAGAGAGATTGGATTGAACTTTACAGTGAAAGCTATGCAATGTACCCGCCAGTGTCTGCCTGTGCCGTCAGTGCCCTCTGCTGGCTGGAGCGTCAGGAACTCCTTAGTATCTATATTGGTTTTCGTCATGCTCCAGTGAGAGGTGAAAAAGGATTTCTGTAAGGATTGTTACACTGGTTCAGTGGGCCACATTCAAGATTTTAACTTAAGAACTCTGTGTTTTGGATACCTAAATTTGGTATATGCAGCACGTACTGAAACTGCATAGGATTTCAAGACTGGCTGAGTCTATTATTAGTCCAGTGCCCTTAATTACTAGCCGTGCTAGCGGTGAGGTACTTTGTTGTGACATTAATAATATTGTTCTTATGAGACTGTAGGGTGCCCTTAGCCTCCCTTTAAATGGTGGTTGTTAGGTCCCTGCCTTAGGAAATCATCGCTTGACACTGGCAACCTACCACCTCGCCTCAATCTGCTAGTAGCCTGAGGGAGCAGTGTGTGCCAGAAATACACTGCCAACATATGGTATAGTTCTTCTAAGAGATCTTGAAGTGCTATTGAATAAATACATTTTTTGAGATGAAAACAAAGGCAGAGAGGGGTGACTGCATATTATCTGATGTCCATATAAATATGGCATTGAACACAATGCTCTGGAATCATGTGCAGAGAAACAAAATGTTGACTGAATATGTAAAGTAGCAATTGACATTAATTTTCATACTGTTTGTATCTGATTACTAATCAATAAATACCTTATGAGTTTTAAACTAAGGGTTATACAAGCATACACTGAAAATGTCATCTGATTACCACTAGCCAAGGAGAACTATAATCAATACACCAAGATGGTGGTAACACATTAGTGAATTTAATGAAATACAATGTTGTTCCTTTAAAGATGATAATATTGATTGATGCCCTTTACCCTCCTTGCCCGTTACTTTTTTGTTTGTAACAAGGGGACAACAAATGCAAGATGATTTTACAGTCCTGTGTACTACTGGCAGTGAAAAGTCACTGCAAAAGATTCAGAACTCTTGAACCAAAGAACTGTTCTCTACAGACCCTAATCCTTGACTGGTACTCACAAAAATTTAGAATTGATCTTGAATACTGCTTGCTTACATGACTGCTATCATAAAGAAAAATACCATGGTGCCTGGTTAAATTTCATTGGAGTTTCCAGAAAAACAGACAGAAAGGTCTGGGCTAACCACATATCCAAAACCATCTAGAAGTGCTAAGGGCTGAAGTTAGACCAATCTGCTTCTAGCCACCTATACAATGGCTTTCAGTAGGACAGGGGAAAAACTGCCAAGAAACAAAAACAAAAAAAGAGATTTCTTCAAGAAAGATGACGTAATTGTTAAATAAGGCAATAATATTTTTTTTAA